GATCCACGATTATCAGTTGGTCGAGCTGCTGGCATCGGCGGAGCAAGGCCACCCGCCTTTTTCAGTGGAAATGCTGAGGAAGCAACATGCTCCGTGGGTGATGAATGAGCCGTCCCCGGCAGGTCAGTAAGAGAGATTGTAGCGACTGACGAAACTCCGGACTGTCTAAATAGGTCTTCAGTGGCAATGGATGCTCGGGGCGTCGAACCTGCAAGAGTGCTTGGGCTAGGGGGAATTGGAATTCTGATTGCTGGTCGCGGTGCATGTTGAATTGGGAGAGGTTGCGAGAAGGACGGGACAGGCCGTTTGATGTTTAGCGGGCTGGGTACAACGTCAACGCTCCTTTCCGAGTACACAGAAGGCGAAGGGCAGTCGGGCCGTGGGGGTCGCTGTGGTGGAGGACCTTTGGGAGCTAGTAGTCGCGCGTGAGCGTTGGCTACGTCGATCTGCTGAAGTCCATCGTTGGGTAGGGGCCATTGTGTCAGATGAGCCGGATTGGTCCTGAAAGTAGACACTGGTTCTGGAGCTGGCTCGGGACGTTTTCCAGCTTTCAGCATCTCCCTTGCTCGTCGTACTGATCCTTTTCTCTCTACGGGCTCAGAGCCCGTATCCGCTGGGTTAGGTTCCATGTATTAGCGTGGAGCGGGAGATGACAACTGCAGCAAGCGCGATATGATGTCTCGGTGAGTGAGTTCGATCCTTGCTAGCGCATAGAACAAGAGCTGGTACCGCTCTGCTGGCTGGCAACTGATCGCTGACGAAAGGTAACCCAGCCGCGGCGTCGATAAGCGAGCGATTGTAGACAGGTTGAGCGGGTGACGCTGATGGAAGTTTGATAAGTTGCGTCTGTCCGTTGCCTAGTAACAACAGACTTGGGATTTCAAAAGAAGGTGGATGTTGAGAATGATCGTAAGGGCACTCAATGCCTCTGGAGGGGACAGGTAAGTTCAATGTCGTAAGTCGGCTGGTGCACATTGTAGGCAGCGAGACGATCGAGGGTGCATACCACAAGAAACAGGTCTTACTCAAAAGAAAAGAAACAATTCAAAGACTCTAAGTCACAAGAACATACTATAAGACTTGCAAAGTCTAAGAAGAATCCCCGGCTAGTCACCAAGCCCCTGAGCGCATAGAACAGAAATTGAAAATCAGCAAGCCTTCGTCATGATTCACCTAAGACACGAAATGGGAACTTACAGAATCTCCCACAAAGAAAAGAAGAACCGACCAAAGGGATCGAAAGGACCTCTAGCCCTTACCCCCAAGAGAAAAGAGCGGACGACTGGACAGTACGAAGTAAAAAGAGAAGAAAACAACTCCCAGCGCGTGTATAGACGGCAAGCAGATCTTTGGGCGATAACGCCTCACACGGACGGAAAGTCAGGCCCAGGGGTTTCCGGAAACCCAGCAAACCTAAATGTCGGAGGGAGATACTAAAGACACTTCATTTCCGTGCTTTGCCCAGGGACTGGACTCAAAGCAGGGTGCGCCGGCGCAAATGTTTGGGAGTCACACCCGTTCAAGTCTAGGTGGAGTTGGAGCCAAAGCGATAGCGCGGAGACAGGCACGGGAGGTCGTTTGTGACGGAAGGGATTAGATCCTTAGGAGCACCGGATGACCTGCTAAACTGCTACTAGGCTTCAGGATAGTCTAACCGCCGCAGATATGCCGTCGTTGTACTCAATTCCCAGAGTGGGTGGTGCCTCGTTTCATGGAGATGCGCCGGACGCAACAAATCGACACCCGCGGGGATGATCAATTGATATGGATTAGATGGTATTTCTTTGTTTCAATTTGCTTTTTTCCCTTTCCCCTCGCTTGCAGATAATCTTGCACACACAATGCAAAGCGCTGCTGGATTATGGAGACACCAAGAGTCGCAAGATTATGCATATTCCGGTCATTTTGACCGGGGAAGTCGAATAGGCGAGACGGCAAGGACCATAGACAGGCCAGAAATTGAGATCCTGAGTAAACGGGAGGAGCTAAGGGACCGGAGCTAAGACCCATAATGGAGGAAATACAAGGGACGGCGAGCGGCCATTGGGCGGGCGGGGCACACCCAAGACTCGCAGAGGGACCAAAGAGCATGGCGGTTGACACTAGAGTCTCAGCTTGAGCAGAAGTGCCACTCGCTGGAGAGCGGCATTGCGGCCCTGGAACTTCAACATGAAACCAGTGATGAAGTCCATCCGTGGGTGAAGGTCCAATGATGGTGCAGAACGAACAACCGGAAACACGGGCGTCGGAGGCAAGAATCACGAATTGCATTCACTCCTCAGTCGGCAGAATGGGGAGAGTTCCACCAGGAATTCATGAAGCGAGTCAAGCGACGTGTGCACCGGAGGGGGTGGTTCGTGCCATGATTTGGTCCTGTCCTTCCAGCGGCAGTGCTGACGGCTCAATTCCATGGATCAGCATCATACTGCAATAACCATGATCATTATCATGATAATAATCATAATCATAATCATACAAACAAGGGCTAGTCGGATTGTTAGGCCATTCTCGCCAGGATAGTTGCTCGGGCACAAGGCCAGTTTGAGGTTAGCGAGGTACGGAACTCATTAAAATGATTAAAATAGAGTTTATCGCTTAACAGTCGCTGTTATGATGGTACGTATTGTTTATTGTTCTTGCTGGCAAAGATCATATGAGGGACCTGCCACGCGGGAAAGATGCAGGAGAATGGATAAGAATAGTTCCAGTCTCCTCTTCTTTCATTTATTGCGGGACTGAACCGAGTGGAGGGTGAATATGATGGATGATGATGATGATGATGATGACGAAGGGAGAAGAAGTAAGTTAGTTAGTAAACAGAAGGAGTACGCAGTAGAAGATTAGCAGGAGAAGAAGAGAGAGGGAGGGAGGGAGGCAGGCGGAGATGGAACTGGAAGAAGTCCCAGAAACAGGCCGGAAAAAAAACCTCAGGCCACAAACAAGTCTTTCTCTTCTCTTTCTCCCTCTCTCTTTTGCCCAGTGATCCCCTTTTCCCCCTATCTCTAGCAATGATGATTCATAGTCCAGTTCTAGTTCTAGCTCTAGCTCTAGCATCCTTTACAAGTTCACAACGCTATTATATCATTATCCTGGGTCCATTTGACTCCATTATCTGTTTACAAAAATAGATCGGGTCTATCGACAGGACTGACCACCGGTGAGATCCGACAATGTCTCTACAATTCCGAAGAATTAATTTGAAGGTGGAGCTGAGGTCTTCTAGAGCTCATTAAGAACATGTCCATAGCTCGCTGGTTCATATACAAAGACTCCATCTTCCGGCGTTCGTGTTGCGGCTGTGCCTGCGAAGACATCTTCACTTATTATTCTTGGCCTATCGCACTTCTTACCTTCTCGATCTGCTGCTCCACCGTGCGCATCTCAACAACAACATTGGCCAATTCCGAGACCCGACCCTCGACAGCTTCGGTGAAGGACTTCTGGGCGCTACGCAAAGAAAGGGGCAACAAGATTCCGTACCAGTAGATCGGATCCGACGACCAAAAACGCCTCTTCGCTTTCTTCGACTTCGTATCTGTCTCCGCTTCTGCTGGAGGAGTATCCGCAGCTATTCCTGAGGCAGCGGCTTGGCTTGTGCTTTCTTCGGCGTCTTGGGTCCCATAGTCTTCGGCATTTGCAGTATCTTCCATTGAAGAGGATTCGTTTTCGTCGTCCGTCTCGGATCGCTCCTTGGGCTGCTCGACAGTGACGGATTCGATTGCGAAGCTATGCTGGAACCTTCCTGTTGAGGAAGTCTTCTCCAAAGTTTCTTCTTTGGGAGTCGAGTCGGCCCCCGAAGCTGGGTGGGAAGCCGCTTCTTGTAGGTTCCTGCATAGGTGCGATTTATTGGTTGGTTAGGCGTTCTGGTAGACAGGAGGACAGTCTCGAAGAAACTGAGGTGTGTTGGGACTCACACTCTCCTTGTCGCCTTCATGCGCTCATCGTAGTAATCTGCTCCGTATCTGCGCCCAGGTGAACAAGTAAAGTTCGCCTGCGCGAGGGAAATGAACCCCTGATGAATCTTAGCAATTGTCCGCCTGCGATGTATGGTTAAGCCATGCACAGTCGCAAACATACCGAGGACAGCCGGGCACCCAAGTCGGCTTGCAATTTTTGGTGCTGATCTAAAAGGTGAAGGTACCGCTCCAGCAAATCGTCCAGCATCTGCAGATGGTCCAGCTGCTGTTCAGGCTTCGATTCATTGGAGCCATGCTCCGTTGAGGGTGAACCATGGCGGGAAGCCGGAGGGGTCGGGATCTGCTCCATTGGGCTACAAGCAGTGTAAATGGAAGATCAGACGTGAGCCAGATAGCAGATCAGAGCGCCGATCAGCAGTTTGTTTTGAATATGACAGGCGCTGGTTGTGTTGGTGGAGGAGGACGAGAGGGGAAAGCTTGAAAGCGGCGGAGACCCCGTGGAGGAGGCCGGGCGGGCGACTAACTCCGTCATCGCAACCTCCGCCGAACACCAAAAGAATTTCCCGAGATTCTCCATTATTGTTCCCTGCCTTTTCTCTCCGCGCCTTATCCTCCTTTGGCCTCATTCTTCCCACTTCATAATTGAGCCTTACCTCTTGTGTCTCGTTGAGTTCATTGCGTGCTGAACTGAACACCTGTGAAAGTCTCCTCGGTACTGAAGACGTGACCCGGTCTTTGGTTTGCTTGCTCCGAACAGCTTCTCTTCCGACGCCACTTCGACTTGCGCTGGTTCTCAGGTAATCTTACCCCTCTATCCTACAAACCTCGCTACTCCAGACTCTCCGGGCGATATTGGCTCACTGATCGCGGTTGACTTGGAATAACTCGTCACATACTGACTTGAGTCCGTTTCATCTAGACGCTTCGCAGTCCAGCATTTCGGAAAAGACGTGCTCGGAGATAGCCGCATTTGGGTCTTTCAGGCATCATCCATCTCAGCGATTCTCTTTACTTTCATCCCCCCTTGTTTAACTATACTATTCTGAAAACTCCCCTCTCCACTCTTATTGAAAGCCTGACATCATGTCTGTCCCTACGATCGGGCGCGATACGGCCTTCCAGGTCCGCTCCTTGGTATGTTTCCCTTGTTCATGGGGAGCCTGATTGTATCCTGTGACCAGCTTGAAATTGAAGACTAATCGCCCACGATTACTCGTGTAGTTCCGCTCATTGCTGCGTCAGTCCTCCCAGTTCTCGAACTACAACTTCCGCGAGTACGCCCGCCGGCGCACAGTGGATGCCTTCCACGAGCATCAGAAGGAGACGGAAGATAGACGGATACAAGAATTGATCCAGGATGGAATCCAGAACCTGCGGATGCTGAAGGTTAGTCATACCAGGAGAGGGTCATGGCTCCGGGGACATTCGGGCCCAGCATCGCTGCTCCAGGGCCCTTCGCTGATTTTACTGAGGATTTAAAACTAACATACACTCCAGCGTCAAACTGTGATCAGCCAGTTCTACCAAATGGACAAACTGGTTGTCGAGGGTCAGAATACAGTGAGTCTTCTAAGGCGGATATTCACATCAAAGTCTCAGCTAATTGGGAAACCAGGGCAAGCAAACTGGTAGTGAGGGTGGCATTGTTCGCCAGAAGGATACTGGGTAAGATGAACATCCTCGACATGCTTGTCAAATTCTTACTGACCGGGTCATAGCTGGGACTAAGCAAACTATATATGCGATTCATGATTTGCCGGCGTAGGAACGGAGTTGCTGGGGATTGATCTTGATATCTTGCGCCGCCGATGAAGGATTGATTGGATAGACTGGAGGTGCTCTTGTAATTTTATCAAAGCCGACTCACCGCGTACGTTGTAGGTAGCACCGATACTAACTTCTCTGAAAATACCATTCTTCTCTCTTTAACTAGTAGTCCAACTTCTTCCATGTCCATAATGGTTGATTGGAAATCAATGGATTCTGCCATCAGCCCCAGTCACGTGGATCCGGCCGGGGGTTGCTGTTGCCGCCTTCGGTCGCATCGCGACCATCAATCAATCAAGCAACCAACCATCAACTTCCCCAACACTCCTCGGATTCACCGTCACGCTCACGCCAATTGTCTCGTGCAGCCCGGCGCATATTCTCTTTGCATTCAGCGGATGGGCGACAGGCCTCACAGTGTGCAATTTATCCAGGTCTGGGAGTGAGCTAGCAGCATCAAACGCTCACGATGCCACCTACCGTAAGTTCCCTCGCCGACAGCTTCAATGCCGAGAGTAGCACCAGCTCCGCGCGTCCCAATACTCGAACAGAACGATCGAAACGATACACAAGTCTCTATGAATCTAGAACTGACTCTCTGCAGTTCAGATCCTCACGCTCAGGGCGACAATTCGGTGACGCCGCCAACCGCAACCGAACGGGTCAGGTCGATCACGACGTGTTTGAAGGACTCCCCGTACGACGATGGACGCGCCAGACTCAGACCGTATCACAAGAGCCCAAAAGCGAGGCACCCGACCCCAATGACGCTCAAGGTCCGGGAGGGCGACCCACTATCCCCGAACACCCAATGCCCCGAGACAGCCACCTGTTGGCCCCGGCGAGTCGAGCGCTCCTGCGCGCAGCCCGCGCAGGCTGCATCTATATTCGACAAGCTTCGAAGGACTTTGAAGACGAGGAGAAGGAGGCGACCGATGGGGAGGAGCAACCTTTGGTCCAGAGCACGGAACGCAATTTTGTGACCCGCAAGTGGACGTCCGTCCCAAAGCATCTCGAGGCCGTGGAGGTGGAATTCCTTGCGAAGAGACGGCCGGGGATGCCATCTTTGTATGGTACGTCTGCAAATGCAGATGGGTCTAGTGCGGGTCCGATGAGGCGGACTCGTTTCAAGAAGGTCGACCCGGCTACAGGAAACATTTCGATTTATGAGGCTTGGGTGCCAGAAGGACATAAGATTGAGGGAGAGATTGCCGACGATGCTCAGGTCGCTGCTCCGAGTAGCACTGTCACGGTCACTCCGGAGGCCCCGGCTCCAGGAACTGTCATCGAGGGTGTGGGGGTGGTCAACGCAGAGGGCGTTGTGGTTGCAGAAGCCGGTTCGGTGAATGTAATGACGCCTCCGAAGAGGCGACCTCCCCCTCCGAAACGCAAGGCCAAGGGGGTCGGAAAGGGAAGAAGAAAGAAAGTCATGTTCGCTCCTGGCGACGGTGCGGATGCCTCTCAGGTGCATGGGGTAGGGGGGGCTGATGGTGCGGCAGACAAAGAAGATGGCACGGATCCCTCGAGATTGTCCGTTGACCAAGCTGGTCAGGACGATGACGACGAGGAAGGTGAGGATGGTGATGAGAGTGACGATGGTGATGAGTCCATGCTTGATGCAAAGACACCAGAGGCTTCGGTGCCACCGACAAGCACTGAGCCCTCGGCTGCTCCGGAACCCCTGCCAACACCGGCACTGGCAGTTGCTGAACCGCAGCCACCAGCTGTCGAAACACCTTCTGCTGCTGTACCAGAGACGCCTTCACAAACTACAGTAACGCCACCAGCTCCTTTCGAGCCTTCAGAAGTATCTCTCGGTATCTCCACGCCAGTTTTGGCCGAAAGGCCGATTGAAACTTCAGCACAACCCGAGGACGCGGAGATGGCGGATGCCACTCCTCAACATGAGCAAAGCATAAAGTCTCCTCTTCAGGTACCAGTTTCACAGGAACAGACAGTTCAAGAAAGTGCAAAGACAGCCTCGCAGGCACTATCTCAAGACACACCTCAGGCACCCGTCCCAGAGACTCTTCCAATCACAGCAAGTACGGAACAGACTGCTCCGGTATCATCAGTAGTTGAGCCATCGGGAAGCCCTGATGAGACAGCTGGGCTACCGACCGAGCAGCCCCAACACGATGAGGACACGGTCATGGAGGATTCCGCAGCCCTCCCGGAAGCTGCTTCCAAACCGGACTCTGAACAATCAGCTCCTGAGCCTCTGGTGACCCAGAAATTCAACGCTCAACCCAATGAAGAAGGTACTGAAACTAAGGGGTCCGATCTACTCGCCTCATTGGAAGCAAGCCTGGACAAACCATCAGAAACAGCCCAGCCGAGTGAACCAACGAATGAGGTCGAGATGAGATCAATTGATCAGCCTGTTGTCACAGAGCCAATCGCGGAAAATACGCCTCAGACCGCTAGCGCAGCGGTAACTACTGTTGACCACCCATCTGTACATGTCACCGACTCGGTTTTGGAGCGGCCCGCGGAGCAGCCCGCTGCTCCTGATCCGGCAGAACAGGCTTCTCGGCCGCCTTCTGAGCAACCAGACAAACAACCAACTTCTGAAACGCCTGGACAGCCTACAGGACAGATCCCAGACAAGGCTGCCGCCCCGACTGCCCCGGCTGATGCCCCGGCTGCTGCAGAGCAAGCGGACAAGCCGGCTATCGAACAACAGCAGCCTCAGTCTGAGGATTCGATAAGTAACCAAGTTGCACCGCAGGCCACGGAAGCCTCTGCTAATGAGTCTGCGGCTCCGCCTACGAGCACATTAGCTGAACCGCCAGCCGAGCAAATACCCGACCAGCCAACTTCCACGGAGCAGCCTTCAGAGCCCCCAGTCCAATCTCAACCATCTATTGAAACGTCCGAGGAGCAAAAGCAGCCCAGCCCAGAGAAGCCTGCTGCCGTTGCTTCTTCGGAGGCAACACCTACGCCAGCACCGCAGCCAGCACCGCCTCAAGAGCAGCAACCTTCACCCCAAGCCCCTGAACCACCTACAACATCCACCCCTCCCGTGCCTGCGGCTGAGCTCCCATCAGAAACACCACAGTCCGAATCTGCACCTGAGCCTCAGCAACCTCCAGACCAACCCCAACAACCTGAGACTCAGGACTCGAAGCCTCCCGACACCACTACCGCACCCCAAGACCCACCACCAGTCGAACCCCAACAACCCCTACCTAACCCCGAACCCGTGGAATCTGCACCCGACCCAACTAGCGAAAACACAGATAAACCTGCCGAGGACTCAACCACAGCCGCTTAACTTCACTCCCCAAGCTTCACTGATCCCGAACAAACGGCGCAAGCAAGGTGTTTTGGTGCACACGTTCAGTCCGTTCCCATTCGAGCCACATTTCGCAAACCTGGGGGCCAGGAATGATATATGCCGGGGGAAACTATTTATGTATATGGTTCATATTTGAATCTAAATAACTCTTTTCGCCCTCTTTCAATATCATACATTATTGTTTCTTGTTTGTCTTGTGGGCGGGGAGCAGAATTTTAATGCCGCGGGAGGTGGTTGTTCTCACACACCGGTCCCGTGGGATATGTACATATGCCCGTCGTCGATCTCCGTGGGCAGGCAAACAATCAACCGGTAGCCCGCAATTAAAAGCTAAAACATGTCCCAGAGAAGCCTCCTGTAACCCTCTCCACGTCGTAGCGTATCGTTACGAATGATCCAAGTATACCACCGAACTTCCTCTCGAAGTGCCGAACACCCCAACCGTAGTATGATCTGAAGTGTATAGTGATCACGTGACATACACCACACGGGGATGTAGTTACCCACAGTACTAGATCACCAGGACCAGACACACCAGTACTGTATGCACCGCACCAGCGAGTGATCTGATCAACCCAACCATCCCGATGGAATACCAAGTCTCCAGATAGGTGAAGCCAGCCATTGCAGACCTCCGAAAATATGCTTCCGCACTGGTCACATGAGAATACTACGCAGTCCAACGATGTCCTTCAGCTGACGGACAGGGCCAGGGATGGCTAGACGGGAAACAGAAACTGCCAAATAACAGAGAAATTGAGTCACGTAACCTAACCCACAGATGGATGGCATTAACGGGATCACATTAGAGGGACGAGATCATACACGGAATCAACATGCATCTGGAGTTGACCGAAACACCTGGGGAAACCTGAAGAGATAGAGAGGGAAAAAAAATTCCAAGTTCTGAAGACGAAGAAAGAGGACGGAAATCAAGAGGCCATAGAGTTCAGAAGTTTTAACAAATGTGGAAGGGACAGAAGGGGTGAAGGGGTGGGAGGAGGGGGTGGGAGGAGGGTTGGTATATTGTTTCACCATGCAATCGGTGCAGGCCTGGATGAATGGAGGGAAGAAGGGGTAGTGAGAGTTTTTGAAAGAAGTTCGCTTCGCAAGAAATTAAATTCAATTCGATCCTGAGGGGAATAAGTCTCATTGGATATAGACGAGACAGAAAAAAAAAGGTGTGAATCTCGAGTCCATTGCGAGATCGCAAGCAGAAAAAGAAAATACGTGAACATAACATGGAGTAGAGGTCCTTTCCAAATGTTGTAACCCAGCACGCCAAAGACGAATAGAAAACAGCACATATCAAAAAGACGAATCTACGAGGACGGGGTCAGTCACCAGAACTTGGAACAAACAGCAGTTCATCCAAAATTTCGAGGGAGCTGCGATTGCGATACCCGGGTAACTTCTATTTCTTGCTCTTCCTCGGAGATGCGGTCTTCGTAGTCTTAGTCGCACTCTGCGGCTTTTTAGGGATCTGCTTCACCCCTTTGGTAGGTGATTTGGTCTTGGATGTACCCTTGCTCTCTTCCTTCTTTGATGTCGGCCGTTTTCGTGAATTCGTGCCCTTCGCTGCTGCGAGAATCTTCGCCTTGGTCGCTGCGGAGGGCCGATTAAGCTTGGATGTTGTCTTTGTTGGCGCCGAGGTCTTTGCAGACTTCGCGTCCGGCGTCTTTTGGGTCTTAGTCTGCGTGGACTTCGTGGGCATCGCGGCTCTAGCCTTCGCCTTGGTTGCCTTGACGGTGGGAGGCTTGATCTTGGCTTTCGTGGGTTCAGGTTTCGATGTTCGTTTCGTCGTAGCTGCTTTCGTGCTGGCGAGCGGTTTGACAGTCGCTTTGGTCGTCTTGCTCGTTGATTTGGTGACGGCCTGCTTGGAACGAGCAGAAGTCGATTTCGACACGGAAGCACGGGCGCGTGCAACCGCCTTCTTTACACCTGCCTTGACTGCCTTGGTTGTAAGAATCTTTCGGTTCTTGGTGACACCGGAAGGGGATTTGCTGAGCACCGTGCTGGCCTTCCGCTTGATGACCGGCTTCTTCAAGGCGGCCAGCTTCTGCCTTTCGTCTTGCTCTTTTGCGCGCCGGTCCTTCTCCCTTGGTCGCGGACCCAGGATCCCACGGCAATTAGAGGCGCCGCATCGACACTGTTGGACGTTCTTCTGGGAATAGGGGCTGTCAAACATGTTAGAAGCTCCTCTGCCTCGATGAACACTGTCTACTCACTCGAAGTTGTAGTCATAGGTCAACTCCTCCCCAGTCATGATGCCCCGATCTCCAGCAAAGAGAGCCATGCGCGGCTTGCCAGCCACTGTCCACTTCTCCATGCGACAGTTCGGTTCACATGAATGATTCACGAAGCGAGCAATCGACCCCCGAGTAGCATCAATGATCATGTTTTGATCAAAGTACATCAAATAGTAGCACTAGAGCGCCCGTTAGTATGGAGTGCAAGGCGGCTGAAACACGTACAGACATACCTCATTGTTCTTGTATACCGTTCGCATTCGCCTCTCACATTCAGTCTGAGTGATGATTTCACCCGTGTATTCCACAATGACTTGGTTGGGCTCGAATGTGCGGTTGCTGCGAACTCCGTAGCCGCGATCCTCTGTTTTAATGACCTCGACACCAACGTTGTACTTGCCACCGACTTTGGCTCTGTGCTTAAGCTCTTCAAAGCTCCGATTGCCACAGTCAGGGCCCAGCCTGCAATTGCCATCATCACACTCGTACAGCATGTGCCGATTCTGGCAATCTTCGTCG